CATCGAATTTTTTAAAAAGTAACCTCAAGTAATCTTATGTTAACCAATCATCTTTTTTTTTCTATTGTTCTGCTTTCTTGTCCCCACCTTACAAAATCCTTTTTTCTGCCATTGCCTAGTCATCACTCTCATTCTATTTGTACAAGAGAGATTGCCCTGAACTGTGAATAAAAGCCAATTACATCTATTAAAAAAAAAGACAGGATTTCCTTCCTTTTTAAGTCTGAATACTATTCCATTGTGTATATGTACCACATTTTCTTGATCCATTCATCTGTTACCAGACACTTAGATTGATTCTACATTTTGGCTATTGTGAATAATGCTGCAGTGAACATGGAGTGCATGATATCTCTTTAATATCCTGATTTTATGTCCTTTGGGTATATACTCAGTAGTGAGATTGCTGAAGTATATGGTAGTTCTATTTTTAAGAGATGATTAATGTTTTTAAGTCCCCAGTGAAAGTAGAGCCCTTATTAAACTTTGTGGCCTATTCAACTAACTCATAATTATTGTTGTCTTCTTTACAATTGGTAAACTGTATAGTCTCCCTTTAGAGATCTCACCTAGTGTTTTTTTAAAATAACTCTCATTATCATTAAAGTGCCTTTCCTTTAACTACATTCTTTTCTCTCCAGACCAAAAGGCAATTATTAGTTTAGCCCAGACATTATGATCTCTTAAGTGTCACGTATATATTAATATTTAGGTGTCCCTTGTAGAATTAAGAAACACTGCAGCTAGGTCAGGATACTATAAACCAAGGAACTACTTAGATCCCTAGTATTTACTTGAGCAATCTAGGGTACAGATTACATTGATATCTGAACCAGGATAATTGCTGTGGAAATGGGGGTGGAGGGAAATGAGCATACTGCAGACAACCTGGAAGGTAGATTTGGCAGCTTAGTGATTGATTGATATAGGAAGAGACAGAGACAGAAGGATCAAAAATGACAGTCAGGTTTCAAACTAGGACACACAAAAATGAAAATACCTAAGAGACAAAATACTGGATTCTGTTTGGGGCATGTGGAATCTAAGGTAACTGTGTCATCTGGAGGTGTCCAGCAAGCACTGACCAAATGAGTCAGAATCCAAAAGACAAAATGGAAGGGGAAAAACCTAACCTGGATAGTGGTTGGAATCATCAAGGGCAAGAGCAGATTAATAAGAGGGCTAGGCTGGGCGCAGTGGCTCACACCTGTAATCCTAACACTCCGGGAGGCCAAGGTGGGAGGATGCCTTGAGGTCAGGAGTTCGAGACCAGCCTGAGCAAGAGCAAGACCCTGTCTCTGCTAAAAATAGAAAAAATTGGGCGAGTGTGCTTGTAATCCTAGCTACTCGGGAGGCTGAAGGTGGAGGATCGCCTGAGCCCAGGAGTTTGAGTTTGCTGTGAGCTAGGCTGAAGCCATGACACTCTAGTCCTGGGTGACAGAGTAAGACTGTCTCAGAAAAAAAAAAAAGCAATTTATTAAAAAAAGAAAAGAAAAGAAGAAGGCTAAAATAGAACTGATAAATAACCATATTTAATGAATAAGCATAGGAATCCCAGAGAGTAGTCAGAGAAAAAATGACCAGAAGGTGAAAAGAAAATCTGGGACAAAGTGGTTTCGCTGACATCAAGAGATAAAAGCTATACTAAAAAAGGAAGTGCCAATGGACCATGTTGCTGAAACGATAAATAATGTTGGTGTTAAGACTCGTCCAATGTATTTTCCAACCCAAGTCACTGGAGGCCTTGGTAAGAGCAGTTTCAGTAGAAGCATGTGAGCAGCAGCTAGATGCAGTGAGTTGAAGAGGAATGAGAGGTGCTTAGCACAGTATGTACACACACAAAAATGAAAATACCTAAGAGACAAAATATCACCAAATGAAGACAGGAAATGCAACTCAAAATATGAAGAGAAAAAGACAGAAAGGATGGCCACTGGAGGAGCACAGAGAGGTTCAAGAAAAGTTTATGTTGCTTTTAGTTAAGAATGATTTACACATATTTAAATGTTTAATGAAAGAAACCAATAAAAAAGATATTGATGAGAGGAGATAAAGAATAAAGTGAAGTCCCTGAGAGGGAAGGAAGGATGAAAACTAGAATTGAAATGAAGGGACTAACTTTAATACATCTTCTGCTATCAGAGAAAGGAAAAAGGATAGAATGTTAGAAGAAGAAGCAATGTTATGCCATGTGTATATAATATATATTTATGATAATGGGCTCTAGATATGGTGTGAAAAAAGATCCAAGAATATCATTGAACTATTAGTGAAGCTATCAGCTAATGAGCTGCTGCAGATAAAAATAGGAATAATTTAAATATGATAGGAGAAAGCATTCTACCCTTAAAAAAATTATAATGTGCTTATAACTAGAGTATTAAAAATAGTTCTAGTCATTGAGCCTTAGGAAAGCCTTAATGGGCTAGAAGTGGATAGCTATGTGTTTACTTATATAAATGTATATAATATATAATTATTATCACTATTATCGTAGGCAAATAAAATTCTATCATGTAAAGGAAAATGTGTAAAACTCTTTATGGCTGTAAAAATGAAAACTTAGGATAGCTATCAATGGTCAGTATAACACAATTAAGAATATATAATGAATGACTCCTTTTTAATGAGTGCTCACTATGTTCTAAGCACTTAACATGTATTAACTCATTTAATGTCTGTAAAATCTCTTCCTGCCGGCACTGTTAATATCCCAACGAGGCACAGAGAAGTTTTGCCCCGTGTCACACAGCTATGAAATAGCAGAGCCAAGATTAAAATACAGGCATTCTGATTTCAGGGAATGTGAGCTTCACCTCTGCCCTTGAAACACAAACCTAATTTTTAACACTGATATTTCTTAAATGGAAGTAGGTAGGTTTGAGGTAAATAAAAATAAGTATTAAATGAACTACAAACCTTGAAATGTGGATGCAAACCTTCGGAATCCTAAGAGACAAAACATATTGAAAATATAAAAAAAGGATCAGGAGGTCTCTAGAGTCACAGAGACATAAACCATAAATGGCATAAAGCAGGGAATACAGGGTAAGTTGAAGTAAGTAAATCTCCAGCCCCTGAGGCTAGCCACTAGAAGGTCAGAGCCTTCCATAGGTCTACACTCTGTGCCCCCAGCGGATAAAGGCTGCAGAGCAGGATGAATCTCTGGTCCCACCCCAGATGGTGTTCTTTTCTTCTGTGATGTGCAAATGTCAGCCCTTGTGTCTACCTGTTCCAGTCTTCTCTGTATTGAGTTATAAGTATTTACAGAACAGAGAACAGATCTTACCCAACTCACTTGGCATGTCACCCAGCTCAGCACCGTATGGAAGGTTCTTGATAAATAGATTTTAATTGGTATTATGTGATACCATTTCCCTCAATTTCATAACTTTATACACCCATAGGGTCTACTTTGAGGAAAAAGAATGTGTTTTTGATCTATTTTCTGTTCACCACTGCTAAAAATTTTGCTAAATGCATGACTGTATGGCATTGCTTTGAACAGGGAATCTCAGTAACATATTCCTTAGGGAAATACCGAATCTAAAATTAGTAAGTGTTCATTCTACTGAAGATTCTTGCAAAGAATTTGTTCAGGTTGGGAAGTGATCATCCTGGGGGATTTTCTTCACACACACAATCTGCCCTTCTAAATCCATCAAACCTTTGTTCAGCTGCCGTATTTTTGCAGTTAACTTCATGCTGCTGTTGCTCACGTTACCAGAGCATCTGGTATGTAACAAAATCATTGTTCTCTTCCAGACATTAGTTAGCTAGAAAAGGAATGTCACATGCCATCTCTCTTCCTCCTCCCATATTCTTTCTCCTGCTTAGAATATTACCCTGTGCAGGAGAGCATGAAGGAGCTTATTCAGTGGAGAGTTGGGTCAAGTGTCAGCAAAGGCTCACCTGTTTTTCATCTATGAAATATAATGTTCTATTCTAGTTATCAAGAAACCTTTTCCCAAAGACAGAGTCTATCTCTTGCTATGAAAATTGTGTACTTTGAAATCACATTGTTGGTTTTTCTTATTCTGCTAAGAGTAAACAATCAACATTTGGTCTGGACTGGTCTTGAAGAGGGTATGGCTCTTAAGGATTTTCACAGAAGCTATATCACCTGGAATTCTGGGCTAAAATTGTGGGAGCTTGGAAGAAAACACAGTTCTGCCATAGGCTCAGGAATAGTAAGTAAAACCTAGTCCATAAAGAAGTTAAACAGCTAGAATCAAAATCCCAAATAGCTAACAATGTGCATACTAGTCACCTTTACTTTCTTTCTCTAAGATTTCATTTGCAGTTACAAATTTACTTTCAGCTAAATTCATTCTCTTACACAAACATGTCCATCATTTTGTGCTGAAGACAATGACATGACAATACAGGATAAGCCACAGCTTTTCCTCATTGAGTCCCTTCTTCACATAACCTTGCCTGGTTCCCCTGTGGAGAGTACATTAGTTCTTGTCTCCATCCCAAAGCACAGTGCTTATATTCATTACATGTAGTAGTGACTCCATTCTTCCTTAGATTTCGGCTACCTTTTCCACTAGATGGAGGAGTGGGGACCAGATCTATTCTCTATATGCCACTATTTCATACACAAAACACTGGTCTTCCACTGCACCCTGCACATTGTAGGGATGCTTCTTGCGTTATATTTTCTTAATTTCACTTAAAAAAAACCTGTATCTTCCCAGAATTTACCACAGCTTGACTCCAAGTCTACCCTTCAGTCTCTCAGAATGGTCTGTCAGAAATATAAGATCAGAAGTTGGGTACATGCACATAAAGAACTGATGAGAAGTGCTACCTGTTGACAATCAATTACTTTAATAGATTCTAGACCTAATGAGTAGTTATCACTATTTAATATGCTGTGCATTCCAAATAACTTTTGAAAACAGGTTTTCAACTTTAGTCATTTAACCTCAAAGCATTTTTACTAGTAAGACCAAAGAGAAAAGTAAACAATATTTTAATTATTAGCTTCATACCTCCTGCAGAAAGTCCTCTTCATCATTCATCTCAACACTTTTTTATTTAAGTCAGCTTTGTAAACCACAATATCCTCAACACATGCGTTCACCGTGTATTTATATGCATACCTACAACAAAGACTGCAGATGATGAATTCCATGGAAGCTTTTTCCAGAGGGGTCTGGCAGGTAATAAAAGATAAACATCAGACTCTGATGTGTCATGCCCAAGGCACAGTGTGCTAGAATTGCACTGGAAGAGTCGAATGACAAATGCTCGTTTATGCCTGACTCCCTGCAAACAAAGGACATACAAAGCTTAAAATTGTGTTGATTGACTTTTTTCTCCAACATACTGAATTTTTGTTATATAACAATTGTATTCTAGAACGAAATTCATTGTCAGGATCAGATGATGAAACATTTATTAGACAACTGTGTTATCAAAGCCCATAGACAAAAACACAAATGGAAAAATACAGCTGTAAGTGACCCAGATTTTTATCAATGGTAAAGATCCATTCATTTGTAATTCCCATTTTTATTCTCTTTTCCGGGTCCCTTTTGGCCTCCAAATTAATTCTGATCCTTCATTATATAACTGTACCTATCTTTCTTTAGCCTTCCAATTCTCTAAATGTCAGTTTCTGACAAATCCCAGCCCATCCCAGCTATCCACAATGAACATGGAATCATCTTTCCAGAAACAATCCTAACTCAGAGAAAACAGGGAATGATTTCTCTTCACTAGTAAAAGGAGTCCAAAATTTCACTTATGCTGCATCAGTTGCAATTTAAAGTAGTTGGCGGGGGAGGATAGGGAGTTTCTTCCAAATCAAACCAGACCCTCATATGAATGCATAGTCTCCATGGCTGATCACTTCTGTCCTGGTCTTCTGGGCCCGAGGAATACCAAGCCAGAACTCCAACCAGCCAATCTGGCCTGACTCTCTCCGTCCATTTTAAAAGTCTCGTTTCCTAAGAACAGTGATAACTGTCTCTATTTTCATCACATTGACTTTGGTTCTATGATTGACTCTAAAGCTTCTGCTCTGTGCAAACTGACCTACATCCAGATCTTGGATTTAGGCCTAGTTCTGGTGCTGATTCCCACCTAAAACTGTATCCTCGACATGGCTGCTGTGAACTCTTAGATCTCCCCAAGAAAAAAGACCATATCTTCTAATCTAGTGTTACACTTCCTCTTAGTGCTTTTCTCCAGATCTCTGGTAGGGTGTTTAATTCCTACAATGCCTATGCCAGAGCCTCACCTGGGATTTTGTCAATCCCCTTCTGAGATTATATTAAATATGAAATGTCTGATTTAGAATCAAAAGTTTGGTTTATTATATCTCAAACAAGAAGCAGTACAATTAATCAAACATGTGCCTAAACTATCAACACAGTTTTGCCACCTTAATGGTAACTTGGTTATGCCAGCAGCAAAGAAGCCTGGAGAGTGAGTAGCTATGAAATCACAAAAGGCATTTTCCACAGCTTGTTGAGAATTGAATATTTTTCCTTGCAAGAAATGGTCCAAAGCCTGGAAGAAGTGGTAATCAGTTGGTGCAGAGTCTGGGGAATATGGTGGATGACAGAAAGTTTCGAAGTTCAGCCTGTCTAGTTTGAGCAGCATTGCTTAATTGCAAGCATTCTCATCATTTCATCCAATTGTTGGCAGAAGACATCTGTTGTCATCAACTGACAAGGTTTCATGAAACTGTGATTGATGATATCAGTGCTGGACCACCAAGCGGACATCATTAGCTTTTTCGGATGAACACTCAGTTTTGGACTGAGTTTCGCCACTTCTTCTTTATCCAAGCATTGTGCCAAACACGAGTGTCAAAAAGAATCCACTTTTCATTACCCATAACAATATGGTATAGAAATGGTTTGCCTTTACGTCGTGACAGCAAAGAAAGGCAAGCTTCAAGATGATTTCTCTTTCAATGCTCATTTAATTCATGCAGAATCCATCTATCCAGCTTCTTTGCCTCGCCGATTTGTTTTAAATGGTCCAATGTTGTTGGAATAATAACGTCAAGCTTTGATGCTATCTTTCCACATCTGTGCCAACATTTGTTGTTTGGGGACTTTGTGATAAAAGCCATTCTCACTGGAGTTAAATGATATATCATGGTGGTTTTGATTTGCATTTGCCTGATGATTAAAGATGTAGAGCATTTTTTCATATGTTTGTTGTCCATTAGTCTATCTTCTTTTGAAAAGTTTTGCTTCATGTCTTTTACCCACTTTTTAATGGGGTTGTATGATTTTTTTCTTGCTGATTTTCCTATGTTCTGTATAGATTCTAGTTATCAGCCTTTAATGAGCTGTATAGCATGCAAATATTTTCTCCCATTCTGTAGGTTGTCTATTCATTCTAATGATAGTTGCTTGGCTCTGCAGAAGCTTTTTAACTAGATTGGGTCCCATTTATTTATTTATTTTTGTTGTTGCTGTGATTGATTTTTGGGTCTTCTTCATAAATTCTTTGCCTAGGCTGATGTCTATAAGAGTTTTTCCAAAATTTTCTTCTAGAATTCTTATGGTTTCATGCCTTAGGTTTAAGTCTGTTATCCATCATGGGTTGATTTTTCTAAGTAGTGAAAGGTGTAGATCCTGTTTCAATCTTTTACATGTGCCTATCCAATTTTCCCAGCAACATTTATTAAATAGGAATTCTTTTCCTCAATGTATGTTTTTGTCTTCTTTGTCAAAGATCAGATGCCTATATGAGGATGATTTTATATCCAGGTTCTCAGTCCTGTTCCATTGGTCTATGTCTCTGTTCTTGTGCCAGTACTATGCTGTTTTGGTTACTATAGCCTTATAGTATAGCTTGAAGTCTGGTAAATTGATGCCTCCCAATTTGTTCTTTTTGCTTAAGGCTGCTTTGGCTATATGGGGTCTTCTCTGGTTCCGTACAAAGTGCAGAATTATTTTTTCTAGATCTGCAAAACATGTTGTTGGTATTTTAATAGGGATGGCATTGAATCTGTAGATCACTTTGGGTAGTATAGACATTTTAACAATGTTGATTCTGCCTATCCATGATCATGGTATGGTTTTCCATCTGTTTACATCCTCTGCTATTTCCTTCCTCAATGTTTCATAGTACTCCCTGCAGAGGTCTTTCATCCCCTTAGTTAAATATATTCCTAGGTATTTTATTTTCTTTGTTGCTATTGTGAAAAGTATTGAGTCTTTGATTTGGTTCTCAGTTTGGCTGTTGTTGGCATATATGAATGCTACTGATTTGTGTACATTGATTTTGAGACTTTGCTGAATTTATTTATCAATTCCAGTAGTCTCTTGGCAGATTCTTTGGGGTTTTCTAGATATAAGATCCTATCATCAGCAAAGAGCAATAGTTTGACCTCTTCTGCCCCCATTTGGATGCCCTTGATTTCCTTCTCTTGTCTGATTGCTCTGTCTAGGACATCCAGCACCATGTTGAATAGAAGTGGTGATAGACGGCAACCTTGTCTAGTTCCAGTTCTCAGCAGGAATGCTTCCAATTTTTCCCTATTCAGTATGATGTTGGCCTTGGATTTGTCATATATGGCTTTTATCGTTATTAGGTAAGTCCCATCTATACTAATTTTCTTAAGCATTCTTATCATAAAAGCGTGCTGAATTTTGTGAAATGCTCTTTCTGCATCTATTGAGAGGACCATACGGTCTTTGTTTTTGCTTCTATTTATGTGGTGAATTACATTTATAGATTTGCATACATTGAACCATCCCTGAATCTCTGGGATAAATCCCCCTTGTACACTGCTGGTGGGACTGCAAAGTAGTACAACCTTTGTGGAAAGTAATATGGAGATACCTCAAAGAGCTACAAGTAGAACTACCCTTTGACCCAGCAATCCCATTCCTGGACATCTACCCAAAGGGAAAAAAAGACATCTGCACTCGAATATTTATAGCAGCACAATTCATAATTGCAAAGATGTGGAAACAACCCAGTGCCCATCAATCCATGAGTGGATTAATAAAATGTGGTATATGTATACCATCGAGTTCTACTCAGCCACAAAAAACAATGGTGGTCTAGCACCGCTTGTATTATCCTGGATGGAGCTGGGGCCCATTCTTCTAAGTGAAGTATCATAAGAATGGAATAACCAACACCACATGTGCTCACCATTAAATTGGTACTAATCAATCAAAACTTATGCATACATATGGAAGTAACATTCAGCGAGTGTTGGGCAGGTGGGGGGGGGGAGGGGATAGGTAAACTCACAGCTAATGGGTGCAATGCACGCTATCTGAGGGATAGACATGCTTGTATCTTTCACTCGGGTGGTGCAAAGGCAATTTATGTAACCAAAGTGTTTGTACCCCTGTAAGACTCTGAAATTTAAAAAAAAAAATTAAATTAAAAAATCCTTGATGCTAATTCAGGCATAGGTTGAGATGGATTTGCTTTCACTTTAGCTTTCAGGTCATCATTGTCTACCTTGGTCTCAGGTTGCCCACTTGGCTCATTTTCAAGATTAAAATCACCAGAATGCAACTTCTCAAACCATCAATGTACTGTGTGTTCTTTAGCCACATCCTTCCCAACACTTCGTTGATATTTTGAGCTGTCTCCACTGCATTGGTTCCACGAAAGAACTCGTATTTGAAAAACACAAATTTTTTACTTATCCATGGTTTCACAAACATTGCTTTAAACAAATTTTTTTGAAAGATAATCACAAGTCAAAATGTGTGCTTGAAAGATTGAGGATGTACCTTCACAATAAAAATAAAACAAAGAGTGTCAAAGTGAAATGTCAGAGATAACAACTGTCAAACTGAGTACTTAAGGAAATAGGACATTTCATACTTAATAATCTAATATTTACTTCCACTTCTACAACTTTTTCCAGCATGTGCTCATCTCCATGCAAAATAGGTGCGATCGTGCTAAGAAAAAAATGTGTTATGAAAAGTGTTCATTTCATTCCATTTCTGAAATGCTTCCCTACGTCAAAAAAAAAAAAAACTATCCAAGCTGGGTTACATATTAGGACATGTTAAAAACAAAATCTTTTCTTTATAGCACTGCTTACCCAAATTTTCTCCT